ACAATAAATCCTTCCATCTGGTCAGACTGCTGCTCTTTTCCTGATGGTTCTTCATGAATCCTGATGTTTGCAGGCCTCTCATTGCATGTCTTTGCAGATGGTCCTTGATCCAAAGCCTGAAGTGAGGAGATGAGCAGGTTTGGATTTTGCTCTTACCGTGGTAGTGGCAGAGGAAGAGGACTAGAGAGGCATAAAGAATGCATCAAGCAGGAAGGTGTTTGGCTATGTGTTAGCAGGAATCAACTTCTCCAGCTGTTTAATAACGTATGAAGTCAAGAGGAACAATTTTCTAAATGCACCTGCTCTCAAAGCAGCTCACAGCCTTGTAGGACTCTACCAAACTGGTATTGATCTCTGTAAACTTTTAAAAATAAATTGCTCCTTTGTGAACGTCACAAAGTGCAATTTTACGCTGATTGGGACTTCATACACATGGCATATAGCAGCTCCTTGTGACTGTGCTTCTGGAGTAAATGTACTTCTCTAGTAAAGCAAAGCACGTTCTAATGGCACACCCCATAAAAACATTTTGGAGAGTCAGATTAGTCTCCTCTTCCTTGCCTCTTCAGTTCAAGCAGGAACAAAGTACAGTCAACACTGTAGGTACTTTAGGAGCCACTGAGTTTGAATGCCAGTGCTCAAAGGAAACGATCTGGGGAGGAAGAAACGTGACATAGTTGCTGTTCTGATTTTAACGTATTTCTGTGTGAATCTCCTTAGATTCCCATCCTCTAGATAAGAGTCTGAAAAGTCTTTTGCTTTAGCGATATGGCTAGCTGCTGGATGTTACCAGGAATGTGTGGCTGGGGAAAGGGTGGCAGTCAAGCTTTTTTGGAAACACTCAGCACGTAATAAGAGTTCAGGTCCTAGAAAAGGGGCTGCCATTTGGAATTCACAGAAATGAATTTGTCTTAACTTGAAATGGAGCTCCCTGCCTCAATCTGTTCATCTTCTTCTAACAGAGCTGTGTTCAGGTGCATATTTTTTGTCAGCAAAGTTGAGCACACATCGGGAAGGAAGAGGCTTTTCTGTCTGCCTTCAGCCCATGTTATGACAGCTGCAATACTGGAGGAGAAAGAGAGGTTGTAGGTCGGAAATGGTGAGCTTGAGACTGGCAACTAGCTCCCAAGCAAATTTCCTTTTGGGGGAGGTTATAAGAAATAGCTAGAAGTATGCTTATCCTGAGCAACAGCTGTAGTGGACTTAATTGATTGTTGTATTTTGGTAATGCCTAGAAAACTCAGCTGAGCTCAGGGCCTTGTGCTAAGGGATACAAACACTCCCACATCAGAAGGCAGTCCCCAAAGGACTTGCAGATCGGAGCGATCAGGCAAAAGATTTATCCCTGTTTTTTGGGTGAGGAGGTGAAGCAGAGGGAAGGGAGGTGTCTTGTGCAAGCTCACATTGGGAATTTGCATTAAGAGCTGGAGACTGAATGCAGATCTCCAAAGTGAGAGCAAAGTGTTGCAGCTGCAAGTCTTATCTCCCCCGTCATGGTAGGTTGTCCTGACCTCTCTGGTTAAATGTCACTTCTTGTTGTCAGGCATGGGGTTAACATATACCCTCTGCTGAGTAAGAACATGTAAATCATTCATATCCTGTAGATCCTTTGTAGGCAGCTGCACAGATTAGTACAATGGCAAGCATCACATGCAGAGGAAAAATTGCAAATGCTCACAGGCTTAAAATCCTGGATATGCATTTGCTTCTGATCTTTGATGGCTCCAATGGCTATAAACCATGGCAATGCACTGTGATTAGATTTGGATCCAAAGGTGCAGTGAATTACAGCATTTTACCTAATTATCACTCTGTACAGTCTGTCCCAGCTGAATTCGCATTGTCTGTGAGTAAACATAACCAGCTTTCACCCGCTTGGAAGCTGTAGCCAGAGTGGTGCAGCACTAATGCCATAGCAAACTGAGCCCGGCTAAATTGTACCCAATAAATTTCAAGCGACAAACACCTCGTACCTGCCAACTCTCCCTGTTTGGTACAGATGACTCCTCTCTTTCCTGCCTCCTCTCCAGTACACAAATGCACTCTAGCCATCTGTCCTGTCTCTTGGTCCTACACAGAGACACTTAGTTTTTCAATATCTGAAAGATAAAATGTGCCTCCCACCTTTATCACAGAGGCTCTTCTATTAATGTGGATAATCTGCTTTCTCTCCTGCTTAGGCTACAGCATATTGCATACCCTGAAACTCCAGACCCTCCACACCCTCTGGTGTCCCCTGTGAGTGCCCCAGGGTTGTGCCACAAGACGTAATGCTGATCCCACAGACACTAGTTCGAAAGGTGCTCCTGGCTGAAACCAAAGTAAGGATCAAAGTCAGGGCAGTATTTGATTCACTTCTGTCTCCAGCTGAAGCAGTCAGTTAGATGCTCACAAGATGTCCTTACTCTTTACACCGATGGTCTGCCAATATCCCATGGGTCTTCTGCTAGCATTCTCTAAGCGCTTCCCTTGGTGTTTTTGCCCTGCCCTATTTCATCATATCACCTTATATGATATCCTGATCCTCTTTTACATTCAGGATGTGTCTTATCTTTGTCTCATCAGTAAATTTCAGGAGCTGTCTTCTGCTTTCTCTTTTGAAGTAATAATTCTCCATCTAGCACTGGATGCTGAGTCTTGTACATATCAAAACTACAGTTAAACTCTTGGACACATCTATAGACAACGTAGATCTATTGTCTCCTAGGGATGGTGGTTGTAGTTGTCTCTGAATTTATACAGTATGGTCTAGTGTGTATCACAGAAACTGTCTCTAAAGCGTAACGAGAAATCCTCTTTCCAGGAATTCTCTGGAGGCAAATATCCATTGCAAGCAGGTGGGAAGAAGATACTGCTTTTTGTTTAGAGACATAAGGTGCTTTAAATTATCTGCCCTGACGCAGCAAGGTTTTTGGCAACTTCTGGATGAGTTAGCCAGCTTTTTGCCTCATCTAACCAAAATCAAACTTGCAAAGGGAGCAAAAGGGAGCTGTATTATTTTGTACTTCGGGATGTACAAAGGAGGTTAGACAGGGTATATTTTAAAGTTGCTTTGTTCTCATGCTAAAAAGATAGGTTTTGTCTAGATTGGAAAAACCCATAATTGACATGGAAAAAAATTAGTGATGACAAGAGAGAAATAGATGATGAAATCTGATGGTCACAGCAGGGCTGTTAAGTAGGCATCCAGTTAGCACTGAGCGACTTCCAGTGGCTGCAGAAAGCAGGGCAGAGAGAAGTGAAACGTTCTCCCTTTGCCCAGGCAACCCACGTGCAAAATTCCCCCAACAATTCCACACTACCCATTTCCACCCCTTCCAGGGAACAGCAAAGGAAGGCCACAGACATCCTCCCTGTTTCGGATGACCCCTATGTATGCAAAGTAGCTAAGCAAGGCACAAGCGTTTTCTCCCTTTGAGATGAATTCCTTCCAACCCTTCTTCCAATGATGAGAACCCCACCTACCTCTGCAGACTTACACCTCTGGCTCTCAGCAGGGAATTCTTGCCGTTTGCCTTGGTGCTGCCTAGGATTCCTGTGAGAGATGTGTCCTTCCTGGAAGGTCTGAAAGGATCTGAATATTGGAGGCTCTTTAAGGAACTGACCAGATGGGGGAAAAAAAGGGATTTTGTTCTCTGAGCATCAAAGCAGAGGAAGGAATATACCAGTTTCATTCAGAGAGTCAAGGTATCCTACCCCCTGAAATCCTGAGGAACCGCTACTCATACTGGTGTATAAAGGAGCCGCAGATACCCAGTGTTTGGTTCAGCTGCAGCCAAACCTAGGAGGAGCCTTTTATTTGTTTTTTGCTGTTCTCATATTCAGGTGAATTCTACAGATTTGTCCCGATTGACCTGTTTTTCTCAATCTTCACATGGGCAGATGGGAAGCAAGTAGAGTTTTGTGTGGAAATCCTTGAAACAGTTATATACGTAGTTCCACTTAATATTTTCTGCCCTGAGTACGTAGAGCTTTACAGGAGGCGTTTTGGGAATGACTCATGTACTGAATAAGATTACTGAATCACTTACCAGGAAGTTGGATGAAGAGAGCCCTTAGGAGCTTCCCTGTCATTTTCCCCAAACTTTAGCCAGAGGTATTGTTTTCTTGCTGGACATTCAGTGTATGATAAACTTTGTCCCGCTTAACGTAGCGCTAGCTCAACAGCATAAAACCCATTTCACGTCATGCTTCATGTGTTGAGGAACTGTCTTGTAGTTTAGTGTTTAACAGCAATTAATTGGTCCTCTTCTCTGGAAGAGTTGTGTGCTAAGTCCCCTTGTGATTTTTTTCCTGGAATTTGAAGCCAGAACGATTGCTTAGATCTGATATCCTGTGTATCACAGGACACTAAATTTACCCTGTTATCCTGGAACTAATAATTTGTTAGGATTTGAAGAAAACAGGAAATGGAGAACCTGACAATGCCCCTAGCATCCTGTTCACCCTTAACGGTGAGAAATCACTGCTGTGTTTCAGATTGAAATTCATTTGGCTTATTCTTATATCCTTTTGCTAGCAATTTAAGAGCTTGTACGCCCTAGGATTTTCTCCTGATCGGTACCTGTACACCATAATCATATCATCTCTCAGCCAAATTTCCAGTAATAGTTTGGGCTCATTTCCTAAATAGTTTGAGCTATGTAACCAGAAATTTTCCCTGCTTGAAGGTTTAAGCAGCAGGCAAGAAATTGGTATTAAGTTCCTTATGCATGACAAGTAAATGCTTGTTCTTCAAACAGTTATGTGCCCTGGCCTATAGAACTATCATAGTGACATAAGGTAGCTGTGGAAACTTGATCTTGATTGGAATTACTCTGATATCTCAGCCTTTCCCTCTTCCACCTTCTCCTGAGCTCTGTGGCTTAACAAGTGGGATGACCTTACATACATTGGGATCTTACCCTCTCACTGCCTCTCTAAAAGGTAAACCCTGAACTTTATCTTTCATTCTCCCTCTGTTAACCATGAGCCAGTCTTTATGGTGATTTTCTTTGCAGGAAGAGCTGGCAAACGGATCGTGGGAACAATGCATGGTGGAGACACAGAGGAGGACGTAAGTAACCATCCCACATGCCTGCAGAGCTTCTCTGAGAGTGCTTTAGAATTACCACCTTCTCCTCAGCTAGAGAAACAGTTCCTTACCTGGTGAATCTTCATGCCACAGGCCTGCTTCTCCCTTCCTTTCCTCCAGCTATCTGCGTGCACACATACTTTCCCATTTTTCTTTTGCTCGTGGAGTCTCTGGGCATTGGCCTGTGCTTTAACCACAGCTTGCAGTGTGTAAATAATGGTACATGTGCTGCAGGAATGCTGCCATCCATGCTGTTCTGCTGAGCTGTTGGGGCAGATTGCTGGGAGGAGGGGAGCAGTGCAGTGTAGCGGGAGTCAGACATATGGATCTAGGCATATGCACTGCTCCAAAGATGTACCATGATTTGTAGCCCTCTCACTGGCCTGTATTAACACACAGCATCTCAAGCATCAGTCCTTCAGCTACTGTGAGAGGATGAGAGCTGAACTGTGATCTCTGTGCCATGCGAGACCCCTACTTTGCAGATAGAGCTGTCTCATGGCTCCTTGCTTTGCATCTGCTCTAGGTTGACCTGGTGAGCAGACAGTGCCTTGCAGGTGCACACAGGTTTGTACAGCAGGCAGGTATTCTGACTGCTGTGCTCAGCCTGCTGCAGACAGGTGATCTTTCCATGCCTCTGGGCACTCTAAGTGGTACATCTGCACTAGGAAGTAGATCAAGGGCCTCTGGCCCTGACACCAGCTGCCCTGATATGTTTTGCATCCATACAGTAAGCTCTCCCCTCCATCCTAAAAAGGTGCATGGATCCAAACTGCCTACTGGGAGTGACAGGGAAATCCTGTTCCCTAGATGGTTCTTGGATATTGTCTGGGAGAGTACTAGTTAGCACAGGTCAAAATTGTGCTAGGAAGTAATACAAACACTTAAAAACTGTGATGACGGTGGGCTAGTCCTTGAACTTGTGCTATCTGTTAGTTTGCTAGTACAGATGTAGCCGTTCTGTCTCACTGTCCAGTGGACACCCCCAGCAATGCTAGAAGGTCAGACACCCTGTCTGGGCCAGCAAGAAGCCCTGCAGTACTGGGGCATCCTCAGTCTCTATCAGTACTGCCCTGCCTTTTGCCACCTTCATGCCATAGAAATTAAGCCTTTTTGAAATAAAGAATTTGCTCTTTCAAAAGTCCTTCACAAAAGTCCATTATGGACAGCAGACCCTGGCTGAGCAGCAAAACACTGGTTTGGATCAAAAAGCTGAGGTTAATGGACAGTCATCAGCTCGCAAAAGCTACTCTGTTGCTCTGCATTGAGAGTGGGAATGATGAGTACTACAGTGAGGCAGGGCTCTACCCTGTGATCCAGCATTTGGGGCCTTTGGGTTTATCTATTGTAAGTCAGCTCCAGTGAGGTTCAGCACAGCAGCCTGCATATTATGTAGTAACACATGGGTCTCTGAGAGCATGGCACCTGCTGACCACAGGCTGGTTCAGAGACTCTGCCCTCACCGTCGAAGCCCCTGATAGTATTGCAGTACCTACCTTAGAGACCTCCAGTGAGCGATGTGTCCCACCAGAGCCAAAAAGGACTGGCAGCCCCAGAGTCCCAAGGAAAAGATTTAAATTCGGAGGGAAGCTAACAGGGGAAATCACCACCAGAAGATACAAGAATAGCAGGAAACTCGTAATATTCACCACCAGATACAAAAGCCATTCTTTGCCACAGTTGTCCAACACTGCTAGGTTAACGGTCTGGGCAGGCTTTCTCCTGCAGGCAGGGCAAGAAGAGAGAAAATACCTCTGTTCTTCTGTCTTCCCCGTAGGAAGACACAAACACTATAGCGTTAAGGGAGTTAAGTTTCTTGCTAGAGAGGGAAGAACTGCCTTTTTATTCTTCCCATCTTCACATTTCCTGTAGGAAAGGAGCTTACCTGGCCATGCTCTGCTGCTGGTCTCTGCCAGAACGGACCTGGTTAAGGCCGTTTGGTGCCCTTTGGGGAATGATTTATGCCTTTGGCATTCAGACCCATCTCTGGGTAGGGATCGGAGGTGCTAGGGCTGCAGATGGAGGTTTCGTGACCTTAGTTTTTCCTGTCCCTATGAGCTTCCCTGACCTGCTTGTAAGCAGCTGCCCAGAGAGAGTATAGAAAGCTGTATGTGTTAGGCATCTATGTGTCTGAGACTAGGGAAGGAAACTAGTGAGGCTGGTTTGAACCCATCAAAGAGTTAATCAAGCTGTGGAGTTGAGGAGACCCCAAGAGCCACCAGCTGTGTGCCAGGCCTCTGTTGCTTCTTTGCTAGCATGGCTCCCCTTTCTTCCTCCTCCCCCCATGTCTGGTGAGACCTTGAACTGTGCCAGTGAGCCTGGGCCCCCTGCCCAGCTCAGGGAGTCCCCACCTTTCCTTTTGGGAGTTTCCCCTGTGTGTGGAGCAGGGCATCTCTTGCAGTTGCACAGCTGTGTGCTGCAATAGGAGGCCCCGCCATTCACCCTATCATTGAGCAGAGCTGCCTTTGAGTCTGGGAGCAGCCAGGAAGGCAAGGTGAGCACTTGAATTGAAGGTGACTGCTGCCCTGCGTGGGGAGGAAGAGGGAACCCATGTCACGCAGCTCTCCCCCCTTTCCCTGCTTCTCATCTCAGTTCCCCTCCCACTCTGGGCAGCTGCTTTTCCTGGAGGATGTGTTTCAGGCAGGAGCACCTGCAGGTCTCCTCTTGGGGAGCAGGTCTCTGGGCACCTGCTCTTGGTAGCTTAAGCTGAGTTTCCCCCGTTTTATTTGTATTCCCAGTGTCTTTGCCGGAAAGCAGTGCAACAGTTCTCAAGTATGACACACAGCACCTCAGCTGTACCTGCTTTTCCTGCTGCCTTCTCTCCTGCTGTCATTCTGGTTGCTTTCTGTTTTCTTTTATGTTCCTGTACATTTTTTTTCTGTTCTGCTTCTCCTGTTCTTTTCACTCTGACTCTCCAAGGGGGGATCTGCCCCAGCCCAGCCAGGCACATGCAAGACCAGGGTACAGGTAAGTTTCTCTCCTGGAGTTAAATTTTTTCCACTAGGCCTAAGTCCCTTGGTCTCGCATTAGGTCTCACTTTAAAGTTAAAGCTCCATAAAGTTTTTAATACCACAGATTCTGCAGAAGTGAGGGAGTCCATTGTTGTCAGCCTGGTGCAGTGTGGAAGGAGGTGTGCAACAGATTGAATGGAGCAGCCACTATCTAGTAAAGTGGCGAACTGCAGGTGAAAGCCATGCACGCCTTTAGCTCAGCCTTTCATTATTTTGGGAGGCCAGCAGCACAGCAGCCTGAGCTACAGGCTGGAGGAAAGCCTTTTGCAGAATCGGCCACTACTCGCTGGAGCAAGTCCAAATCTAGATTCCTACCAGTCCAGACAAAGTGCCTTCCCCTCAGCCCCAAAGTGTGTGATCATGCCGAGTGCAGGCGAGGAAGCAACTTAATGAGCCAGCCTCCTGTACTTGTGAGCTGGCAGAGATGCCTGGCGAATAGTGGGCTTTGTCTGTTGGTAGGACGTATCTCTGAGAAGCGAACTGGCCGTGAATTTTGTGCGCTCTCTCCTGCAGGAGGACTCGGAGGACAGTGAAATTGATTTGGATGATGATGATGATGATGATGATGAAGATGTAGAAGATGACAGCATGGAAATCTCCCCGAGCAAATCCAATCGCCGGGCAAGGAAGCCAGAGCTGCTAGAGGAAAGTGATAATGACTTCTGACCCTTCAGTAGCAGGACCAGGAGGCATCTTGAAATGCAAACTTTGGACAGCATGCAGGTCAGGACCTAATAGCCTGCCATCTGAAAAATGCTTGCCAGCATGAATTCAGGAGTTGGTAAATAATGTTCATTAAACTTGAAAATTAAACTTGGATTGCTAATCTTGTGACTCTCAAAGTATGAGCAGTATGAGCAGTTTATCCGTAATTAGAATCACAGTAATGTGGAATGCTGCTGTTTCCATAATTGCCTTAGAACAGGCCCTCATGCACCACAGTGCCAAAAGCTGCACTCCAGTGAGCACTGTGTGCTTGATTTCCCTGCATTTCACAATATCCATACAGACTTGTTGGCTTAATAAATCTGGATGGAAAGCTGCTTTGGGAGCACATTTAAATTGATTTTAAATCTGGCTTAAATTTATTTATCCTAAACATATTCCTTACTAAATCAAGGGCTTGTCTCCACAAAGAGCAGCACCAGTTGGACTAAAGGAGTGAAGTTAAAACAGGGGAGCCAGTGAAGGGATTCTCAAATACCACCTTCAATGCGGTATCTCTCAATATTTCAGCTGTGTCAATGGGAAGTGTTCCTAAACTAAACTGAAATTGGCCATGCTTGAACGTCCTGAGAGCAGCCATGCAGGACTGTAATTAAAGCCATGCAGGCATTGTAATTAAATCCATACAAAACCAGTCCTTTAATTATACTGGTACTTCTGAGGTGCACTGAGCTTTAGGCACCCAAACAGGCCAGAAGTGTAGCCACCATTGCTCCCCTTTGTTCCTACACATACCCTTTCTTGGTTTTCGTCCATGGGAACCCAGGAGAACAAATGTCCACACCCAAAAATCCATAGAAGTTGATAGGTGCAAAATGCTGTTCTTCCAATAGCTCCCCTGTTGCATTTTTTTTTGTTTATGTTTATTCCTCCTTGTGTCATGAATGGACATATTTTCCATATTTAGTTATTCACTATTTTCTACCTTGATTTCTTATAGAAACAATATAAAGTGACTGCGCATTTGTCTGTGCAGCTCCTCCCCCCCCCCCCCCCCCCCCCCACCCCACTCCCTAGGCAAGTTTCAGCTAAGAGTGATATAGGTCTCCAGATATTAAAATCCTGCATATTCTGACAAAAAAAAAAACATGCCAAGTTTACAGGAAAGACCCAGATTTGTGCTTCTTTGCCAGATGTAAGGCTGTTGTCTGAGCTTGGCAGTTACCTGCTCTGTGGAGCCTGTGGCTGAGTCGTCAGCATACGTGCACAACCAGCCATTCAGTTCACAGTAACTTGGTATCAGCTACAGCAAGTTACCCTCTGTCCTACTGGCAGAGAGGGAGAGGGATGTTATGAGACTATTTCAAAGAGATGTTCAGTTATTCAGTATTGCTTGCGAGGAATAAGAGATAGTGTGTGCAAAGGCCAGAAGATCATAAGCAATATGGTGGGAGCTGGAGATTAGTATAAGGTAGTGTCGGTATTGGGACTTCAGCACAAACTTATAGGTAACCAGGCTTTGTTAGTCTGCTGCTCACAAAGAACTTGGTATACTGAGAGGTTCAGTTGGTTAGACTGATGCCATCAGTGAAAGCATACTCAGGTTAGAGCAAAAAGCTAGAGTTTGCCTAGTGTATTGCCACTTTTCTTTTAGTTCTGCTGTAGCATCACAATTTATCTTCACAGGAGCAGAAATCAGTACTTGATTAGAAGAGTTCACTTCAATGTGTGTGTTCATCAAGGCAGATGAGCCCAGGCTGTTCTCTTGCCCTTCCCTTCCCTTACTTTTTTTTTTTTTTTTTTTTTTTTTAACATCAGCAAAGCACTTTGCTTTCCCTCTACCTGAAATCTAGTGTCAGGTCCAACCCCTCTATTATTGTGCTGAAGGAAGGAATGCACAGGAATTACTTGAAAAAACAAGAGCTTTTTCATCTCTCCATGTCTCTGACCCTAAAGGTGGAACCTTCACACTTCAGGCAGTTGCCCATCAGCAAAGCTCAGAACTTGAAATGTCATGTCAGAATGGGACAAAAGTTTACAGGTAAATAAACCACAATGTTTTTGTAGTAACAGGGGACATATGTGAGTGCAGTGATGTACTGAAATGCACGCAATTATACAGGTTTGAGCTGAACAGGCTGACACCATGTTGCACCCTGTAAAGTTAATTGGCATTTTGCACCTCACTTCAGAGGAAGCAAACATGGAGGTCAACTTCCTTAGTGCTAGACACCTGCTGCAAATTTGTTAGAGTGGTCCTGTGACAGCCAGGTAGAAAGCGCACATGCTTGCCATTGCCATTCCCTTTCCCTCGTGCTGAGAATGTCCAGTTTTAGGTCCTGTTCTGAAAACATTCTCCCATGCGATGCGAGGAATCCGTTCTGGTCCTCCCCTCATAATAGAAAGAGGTGAATCTGGCCCAAGAGAGAGATTTCTCATGAAACAGGCCAATCTCTGGGTTTGGGCTGCTGTTTTAGAGTTACAGTTTTCTGTCTTATTTCCTATTTTGTAGCTGAAACGGAAAGATGACTTTATACTTTCTGTGCATAGAAACGGAGCCTCTTCAGGCAGCACTGCCACCTAGCCTTTCAGCACAGCCAGCCAGGTTTTAGGGTAGCCATGCCTTGTATTGCAGCTTCTTGTACGAGGCATAAACAGCAGTGCTTTTAGCACCCACCTCCCATTTCCAGTGGAAATGCACCCTCCAAGCATTTGACACCTTTGCCTCGGAAGTGTTAGTGTGTAGCTAGATACTTGTACATGTGTACAGACAAATAAAACATTCCGAATTGTTGCATTAACTCTGCATTTTCTGGCATTCCAGGGCATGGGAGCCAGCTCAGAATTGTTGATTGCTATCTCCCGTTGGTGTTCCAGGTGACCTCGGATGGGTGGCAGCTGTGGTTTATGCACAGGCTTTGGGTAGGGTTGGCCCTGAGCCACTCCCTCTGCTTGGGAATAATGGTAAAAGAGGTAGGACTTAAATCCACGTAACTATATCCTGTTGGAGGTTGTGAGCCAGTCCCTAACTCATGTTCTCCCCTGCCTGGAAAAAAGGCTTTTGAGGCACTCCCTCATGCAAATCCCATCTGCTTCTTGAGGAACCAGGGGAGAAAATATGCCTCCCATCCTGGGCTGCTGCTTATTCCATCCCCATTAGTTGACCGAGCCTTCTTCAGGACAGTCGGTCATTTCCACGGTTGCTCATTGTTGAGCCTCAGCCTGCTGCTTGAGAGCCAGAGTTGTGAGCTGAAATCTCAGAATTTCAGCCGGAGTCTGACTCTGGGCTTATACCAACACAGACTTGAAGTCAGCCCGGCTCACTGCTTTGGGACTAGGTATTCTTTTCACATTTGGTCCTGGCTTATCCTGGCATGATGCCTTTCCAGGGACCGTGGCCTTGGGCAGAGAACAAGTCCATGCTCCCCTCCTGTCCCAGGTGTGGTGCTGAGTACAGCCAGCTCCATTTCAGCGCAGTCCATCCGTGTGGCAGGCTCCCTTCAGGATATGTGCTGGGGAAAAATCACTGCAAACATCAGGGTTTTTAGGAAGAAAACGGGTTAAAAAAAACCAAGACACATGTTCCTAACTGCAGCCTGAATAGCTAAATAGTCTCCCCATAACTAACATCTCAATAGTGTGTGCATGAAATACTGGTGTTTCTGAGGCTGGGAGACGGTGAGCTACAGGTTAGTCATAGGAGAGTGAAAGAGGTTTAGCAGTTCTAGGAGCTTGTTCCAAAGCTCAAGTGAGAGTTGGTGCCCTGAGCTGTGCATCCTGCCGAGGCTGTTTGTTTCCACAACGTGACTGAGTGCTCCTTTCAACCAGAGCCAGCTTTTCTCTCCATTCTATAATCTGCCAAGAACATCTGCTTCTGTGTATGCCAGCTGGGATTGCCTTCTGACGCTGTTGGGAATGACCACTGACTTCGGTGAGAAAAACAGCAGGAAGTTATTCCCGTGTGCAAGGACTTTAGCGCTGAGCAGGCCTCTAAACCCTTCCTTTACAGGCTGGGCCCTCCTTGGCTCACCTGGAGGCCAGTCACTGTATGGCCCATACACCTTGCTCCTGGCAAGTGGCAAGATGAGTCATGAGCCTTCTTGTCACACTAGAACATGGCGTGGGGTGTCTTGTCCAGGCAGTGGAGCTTGGGCCTGACCGTGCCCCCAGAATGTTGCATATGATGTTCTGCAACCAAGAGGAAGGCAGTGCAAGGCAACCTTTCAACTAGGAACCCCTTTATTTCCAAGTATGCACATAATCACATAGGATACCCCAGCATTTCTCCAGGATCAGGCCACAGAGGTCCTTGAAGCAGTTGCTTACTGGACTGAATGCAGCAGCAGCATGTTGGACTCTGGCTGGAGCAGAGCAGAGGATAGGGGGACAGTCACTGGAGGGAGACTCTGGGGGTTGCAAAGATTGGCAGCTGGTCCATCTTTAAATCTAGCACCTTCTGGGGAATTGCTGAGTCTCAGCCATGCACATAAAGGCATCACCTAGCACCTCTGCTTTCAGAAGCCACCCACCCAAAAGGTGACCTGCTAGGGGAGGACCCACTCCACAGCCAGAGCATTGGGAAGGCATGTCCAAAGGTCAGTGTCACTGATGGCAACAGCAGAAGACCCAAGCAGCCCAGCCTAAATTTGAGCAGCAGAGCTTTTTGAGAAGGTGCTCCCAGGTGTAGCATCTAGCCACATCTGCTAGAGATGGCCCATCCTTGTGCAGCGCTCTTCCTCCTGCTCCTCCTCATTTCCCACGGTCTTTCTAGATGGCTCCACTCCGATGCCTTGGGATTCATATCTCTTCCGAGAGGCTTTGATAGAGAGCAAGACTACCAAACACTTCTGTCACGCCTAGCCAAAATCAACCTGCTGTTGAGGGCAAGGCAAACACTACAGGTTGTACTTGCTGCCTGGGACCCTACAGTTGTGCAGGGAGCAGCCCTTGCTCTGAACTGTCCAGGTCCAAAGCACCGCTCTGTCTGATCTGAGCAAGGAAACCACAAACTTTTTGTGTCTGTCTGGGATATCAATGAGCAAAGTACCCTGGAAACCTGCAGGACTGGGCGCTATTTAGCCAGGTGAGAAGTGTTTCACCCAGTTCTTCTGGGATCCCTCCCATCATGAACTAGATGGAGGGGAGCTGGCTCTGTGAACAGAGTTCTAGGGCACTG